TATATATAAACAAGCAAATAAATCAATAGACAAATAAATAAACTTTGGAGATTGAGAAAGTTAATCTCTTGTCCTCCATACATTCGTACAAAGATCAAGGCACTAGAATACACACGTGGATACACACACACACACACACACACACACAGAGGATTGGAAGGTGAGGATATGACTCAGCCCACAAGACCCTTGGCTCCATCTCCAGCACCCACTCACAAATAGTTATGATTTTTGGAGACACCAGAGTGTTAACTGTTGGGGCCATCCCTGGATCTACCCAGGCATGAAGCACACTCCTGCCAAATGTGTGCAATGAATGTGTCACTGATTAGGAGGCAGTCACCCCGCCCTCACTTGCTGAGATGGTTTGTCCTTTGGCCTGTGCACGTAGACTCTTACTTAATTGTACAGGCAGGTACAACACTCTGCTCTCACGTGCTGTGGGCCACTTGCCCGAATCCGCCCAAAGGCGGAGGGACACAGCACAGCCTATAAGCGGGCTAGCCTTTAGGAGGTGTGGCCAGCCCTTGATAAATCACTCTCATTCCTCTTGCTCACAGTCCCCGATTGGTTCTCGTTCCTCTTGCACACAGTCCCCGATTGGTTCTTTTTTTTTTTTTCCCCACTTATCTGTTTGTGTGCATGCATCCCACAGCATAAGTGTGAAGGTCAGAGGACAATCCCCTGGAGAAAGTCCACACCTTCCACCTTGTAGGTCCTGGGGATGAAGCTCAGGTCATCAGACTAGAGAGCAAGCACTTTGACCTGCTGAGCCTTCTCACCCACCACCTTCTAAAAAACAACAAAACTAAACCATCGCCAGGTGCCTAAACTGACCAGAACTCACTATATAGCCAATGACCTTGAACTCCTGATCTTCCTGCCTCCACCTCCCTCCCAGGAGCTGGCATTACAGAGAAATGTAAAGGTGTGCCCCGCCATGCATCTCAACTACGGACTACTTCAGGGCACAGATCCTGATGGAAACTCTAGTTTCTACTAAGTGGAAAACCCACACGGAGGGGCTCTAGTACAGTGTTATCATCTGTGCCAAATTGGACCAAGTAAGACTTGAATGAAGACCCAACAAGACCCGACTTTACTTGATAAAAGATAAAAATATAAGCCGGGCGGTGGTGGCGCACGCCTTTAATCCCAGCACTCGGGAGGCAGAGCCAGGCGGATCTCTGTGAGTTCGAGGCCAGCCTGGTCTCCAAAGTGAGTTCCAGGAAAGGCGCAAAGCTACACAGAGAAACCCTGTCTCGAAAAACCAAAAAAAAAAAAATATAAATTCCCCGAGGAGCTAGCCACGGTGGTGCACACCTTAATCTGAGCACCGCACAGGTGGAGGCAGGAAGAACCAGAGTTCAAAACCACCCTGAACTCCTCAGCCTGACTCTACCTCCAACAACAGCAGTCAAGAGTGGTAGTACAAACCTATAATCCTAATGCTTGGGAGGTGGAGGCAGGAGGATCAAGAATTCAGGGTCAGCCTCCACTACATGGCCGGGCTGGGTTGAGAGCAGTTTGAGCTACAGTGTGGGTCTTTCTTAAAGTATCAGAGGATGGAGAGATGGCTCAGCAGTTAAGAGTGATTCCTGCTTTTCTATAGGATCTGAGTTCTTTTCCTAACACCCTCACTGGGGAACTCACAACCACCAGTAAGTCTAACTCCATAACTCCATGGGATCCCACACCATCTTTGAGGGCACCCAAACATACATTGTGCACACACCCCCACACCCCCAAACACACATGGTACACACACACACACACACACACACACACACACACACATGCACACATGCACACATTTAAAAAAATGTCTAGAACAATCTCCTCACATTCTTTCATGGCAGTGGATGCTCTTCAGGCCATCCGATGTGGAGCCTGCAAGTCGTAAAATGACACCTGGGATTCAGAATGGAATCTGTGCTGGCAGGTCACCCTCCCTCTCCCGTGCAGCTCCTTATCAACTGGCCCCTGCCAGCACTTTGATTTTTAAGCCTCCAGAATTGCAGAAGAGTAAACATCATTGTTTTCAGCCACCCAGGTGGAGGCTGTGGTCCTTTGTCGGGCAGCTCCGGGCAACATTGCCACAGCATGGCAATAGGAGGCAGGCCAGGTGTTTGTTCTCACATCTTCGTTTTCATCTCCCACGTATTCTCTAAGGAGCAAGGACACCTTACAGAAGGAAGGCAGGAGGCAGGGAGGGGGGAGGAGAGAGAGAAAGAGAAAATTGTGCAATAAGCCCATGCCCAATAGTTTCACTGCCATTCTGGGGCAAAGGTGAATTCCAAAGCCTCCCCCCCACCATTTCCTCCTCTAAGCCTGGAGACTTCGGGCAAGCCTGTCACCTCTCAGCATCTGCAGACTTGTTTGATCTGGAGAACAAGCCCAGCCCAGCCTTCCTTCTCAGGGTGGCTGTTGAGCCCAGTTCTGCATACATGGAAAGTGCCTAGTACCATCCATGCCCACCACGCAGTAAAGGTTCGACCCGCTGGTGCCTCAGAGCCACTTCCTGGCCTGTACTGGGGCAGAGCAAGTAGCCAAGGTCCCCACCTCCCTCTTCTCACCCCCGCCCCCTCCATGCCTCATAAGAGTGGACAGAGCTGGCCTGGCTAAGCCCGCTCCACCTGTTGGCTGTCTCCCACCAGAGAGATGCCATCCACCTCCTCTCTCTTCTTCCTCCAGCTTGTCTGTCCTGCCCTGTCGGCTGCATTCCCACTCCCACAGCCTCTGTCCCTCCTAGCTCCTTTCCTGCCTCCATCTCCTCTCCCCTCGGGAGCCTCCACCCAGACTGAGACTACTGAGCACCCACATTCCACCTCAAACAGCCCTGTGCGGGCAGCAAGCCAATGAGGCCAACTCCACTCCAAGTCCAGGGTGTTTCCTTTTGTTCTGTTTTCGTTTGGGTTTTCGAGACAAGGTCTCTCTGTGTAGCCCTGGCTGTCCTGGAACTCAGAGACCTGCCTCTGCCTCCCAAATGCTGGGATTAAAGGCCTGTGCTACCACAGCTGGCTTCCACTCCAAGGTTAAACAGCTCTGCATGCACGAATGCCTGCTTAGGGCATCCACCATTTCCCTCTAGGTCTGGGGAAGATAATGGACCTGGGTCAGGGAGATGGCTCAGTGGGAGCCCTGAGGACCCCAGTTTGTTTTCCCCGAACCCACATACCAGCTGCACAAGGTAAAGAGCATCTGCGATCCCAGTGCTCCTGTAGGAGGCAGATACAGGAGGATGCCTAGAAGCTCTCAGGCCAGCCAGCCCATCACACATACACAGCGGCAAACAACAAGAATACCCTGTCTCAAGTAAGCTGGAAGGCAAGGACTGACACCCACATAACACACACACACACACACACACACACACACACACACATACACACCACAGATACAGATACACCACAGACACACACACACATACACACACATACACACCACAGATACAGATACACCACACACACACACACACACACACAAACATACATGCCACAGATACAGATACACCACAGACACACACACACACATATACACACATACACACCACAAATACAGATACACCACACACACACACCACATACACATACACACACATACATGCCACAGATACAGATACATCACATACACACACACCACATACACACACACCACATACACACACACCACATACACACACATACATGCCACAGATACACCACAGACACACACACATACACATACACACACATACACGCCACAGATACAGATACAACACACACACACACACACACACACACACACCACATACATACAGATACACAGAAAGAAAGATTTCTGAGGCTGAGGATGTGGCTCCGTTGATGGGGTCTTTGCCTAGTACACACAAAGCCCGAGTTCGATCCTCAACACTACATAAACCAGGCATGGTCTCCCATCCCTGTAATCCCACCATTTGGAAGGTGGAAACAGGAGGATCACAGGTTCAAGGTCATCCTTGGGTAAATATCAAGTTTAAGATAAGGCCAGCCTGGGATACATGAAACCTAACCAAAAAAAAAAAAAAAAAAAAAAAAAGAGGAGAAGACATTGCTGACAAGGACCATGGGCAGGATGGGATGTCTATGGGTTTCAGTCATGTGACCTAGAGCTGAGCCCACTCTACCTGGTTAGAATCATGCGATGGTGGATTCCTCTCCTCCTCCTCCTCCTCCTCCTCCTCCTCCTCTTCCTCCTCCTCCTCAGGTGCAGGCACAGTGAATGTGGCTCAGTGGTTAAGAGCGTTTGTTGCTTTTGCAGAAGTCTTGGGTTGGGTTCCCCAGCATCCACACACGGTGGCTCACAACCATTCATCACTCAGTGCCAGGGAATCCGGTGCCCTCTTCTGACCGCTGAGGGCACCAGGCATCGTACGTGACGCACATGCATACATGCAAGGAAAACACTCACCCACCCACCCCCAAAAAAAAGCACAGAGTGAGATTTTACACCAGAGGCCACTACTGGTCAGTCAGTGACAGATAAGTGGCAGAAGGAAGATGTATTCAGCATCTGGGATTCAGAACCACAAAGCCAAAAGCCTGCAAAGATGACAGATGGGTCCTATTGTCCTTCCAAAGTGAGGAAGTCAATCCTGGGGAAGTCAGGAGAGCTGCCCTCAGGGCCCCCACCCAGCAGTCAGAGACCCCTTTCAAGTTTGCCCCCACCTCCCAAGTTCTCCAATGTCCTTTCTCCTCTCTCCCTGTAACTGAATTCAGTAGACACAGAAGGCCAGGTGCCTGTCTGCACCACCCACCTCCCAGCAGCCCCTGCTGGCTGGCGCAACAGAAGGGAAGACGAGAGCGGTCAGGGAAGGAGACGTCAGAGCAGGGCACATCGGGTTCTGGGAGAAGCCAGAGATAAGCACAATCTGGACGATACTTGAGAGGCCAGCAACGGGAATGTGAAGGGTTGGTGTTCCAGGACACGATCCTCCTTCAAGGGTAAGGCCAAGGCTGGGGAGACCAGAAGGGCCCAAATCCAGGGGACGCTAACCTCAGCAGCCTTCCTCTAGGCCACTGGCTCCCAGAAGCTCCCAGGTGGCCTGGGGGGCAGAAGAGCAGGCCAGCACCCGCGCCTCCCGCCCCGCCCCCCCCATCTCAGCTGTCCCTTGGCAGGCTCTGGATGTACCCTTTCTGTTGTGACAGCTCTATTTTCTGTGCAACTGGTTCCAGCCGCGGCTCCGGTTTCAGATTGCAGCACGTGCACTCATTAAGGCTGATGGGAGTATCATGTGGGCACTAGGGAGAGCCCTCTGCCAAGCCCGGCCTGGCTAATCACAGGTCAGGGCATTCCTGCAGTGGACCCAGAGAGCTAACACCCGGTGCCAGACCCTGCCTAGGACTGCCAGGGACCCAACACCCAGAGGGCAGCCCACACAGACAGACAGAGCTTCATGCAAAGCAACTGACATTTACATAACAACTCCCCCCCCCCCAATTAGGCTGAATCTAGACAGCTCTGTCCTGGCCTTAAAGAGCCCCCCCACCCCCCATACCATCGCTAAGCTTGACTGAAATCTCCTAACCCGGCACAGCATCCAAATGATGTTTTGAGAACTGTTTGCTCCTGGAGGGTATATAGCATGTCGCTCATGATCGGCTTGCACAGCACCTAGGAATTCCATGATAGGAAATTGAGCGGAAAGCATAGACCTGTGATGGCTGAAGCCTCTGGGGAAGGAAGAAAGGGACTGTTGAGGGAATGTGTCCTCAGAGGAAGACACAGGCATGGCTGCAACAAGTGTTCTCCATGCCCTAGAGAAACGGGCTTTTTCTTTTATCACTGGATATTTGGAAAGACGATTTATAGGTGAACTGGGTGGTGCACGCCCTTTCTTCTCAGCAGGTTGGAGGCAGACAGGCAGCTCTCTGTGAGTCTGAGCCCGACTCCTCTCACTAATTTTTCTGTAAACCTAAAATTGCTCTCTTAAAAGGTCTGTTGAGGCACTGGGGAGATGGGTAGAGGACTGGAGTTTGGTTCCTGGTACCCATGTCTGGCAGCTCACAACCACCTGTAACTCCAGCTCTAGGAGACACTTTCTTCTGGCCTTTGTGGCCACTGACACTCACATGTATATACTACCTATACAAGCAATTTTTGTTTTGTTTTGTTTTGTTTTTCGAGACAGGGTTTCTCTGTGTAGCTTTGTGCCTTTCCTGGAACTCCCTCTGTAGTCCAGGCTGGCCTCCAACTCACAGAGATCCGCATGCCTCTGCCTCCCGAGTGCTGGGATTAAAGGCGTGCGCCACCACCGCCCGGCTATACACGCAATTAAAAGTAAAAGAAATCATTTTTAATTTTTGTTGTTGGTTTTCTTCTTGTTCTTGTTCTTCTTCTCCTCCTTCTCCCTTTTCTTCTTTTTCTTCTCCTTCATCTTCTCCTCCTCCTCCTCCTTTTCCTTCTCCTTCTCCTTCTTCTTTTTAGAATGAGGTCTTTCTACAAAGCCCTGGCTATACTGGGATTCACTATGGAGATCAGAATGGCCTCCAACTCACAGAGATCTGCTGGGAACATAACTCAGTCAGCCGAGTGCTTGCCTTACGTATACAAAGCCTTCAATTTACAGCCGCTCGTAAATTGAGCACGTTGGCAGACATCTACAATCCTAGCACTCAGGAGGCGGAAGCAGGACGAACAATTTCAAGGTCGCCCTTGGTTATGTAGCAAGCTCGCTCCCACCCTCTGTCTCTGATGGGGGAAGGCTGTGAAGGAGGGCATATAGAGGTGATTTCCCACAGGCCTGCATTCCTCTCCTCTTATCTCCTTCTACCCCTATGACCTCTATCGCTTAGATCTTAGGTCAGTGGGCATGGTTGTTACAAATGACTGCTCAGTACTAGGGTATCACTATTGACTACAGTACACAGCACACAGGAGGGTCTATTGTTTGTGTTGTTTTCCATGGAGTTTGACCAATTCATGAGTCTACCCTTACCTTATACTACAGGGTCCTTCCACTACTCCAAATATCTGTATTCTATGCTCACAACTAGAATCCTAGCACTCAGAAGCAGAGGCAAAAGGATCATGAATTCCAGGATAGCCTGGGCTACGTTGCAAGAACTTTTTTCAAAAACAGTTTTTAAAGTAAAATTGGGAATCAAAGCTCAGGCATGTGGTGGTGCATGCCTCTAATCCTGACACTTGGGAGATAAAGGCAGGAAAAGTAGGAGTTCAAAGTCATCTTGACCCACATAATAAGTTCAAAACTACTTTGAGCTATGTAAGATCCTGTCTCAAAAAAAAAAAAAAAAAAAAAAAAATCCTAAGATGGGCCAGTGAGATGGCTCATTCTCAGTTGATAACAGTTACTGTATGTGCTGGTTTTATATCAATTTGACACATACAAAAATCAAGACAGGAGGGAACCTCAATTGAGAAAGTGCTTTCATAAGACCCGGCATATATATGCAAGCTTATAGAACATCCTCTTAATGACTGATGTGGGAGAGCTCAGCCCATGGCAGGTGATACCATCCCTGGGCTGGTGGTCCTGGGATCTGGCTGAGCAAACCATGATGAGCAAGCTAATAAGCAGCACCCATCCATGGCCTCTGCATCAGCTCCTGCCTCTAGGTTCCTGCTCTGTTTGAGTTCCCGTCCTGACTTCCTTCACGGATGAACAGTGATGTGGAAGTGTCAGCCAAATAAACCCTTTCCACGCCAACTTCCTTTTGGTCATGGTGTTTCGTCACAGCAATAGAAACCCTAAGACACTGTGCAAGCCTTGACATCCTGAACTCGATTTCAGGAAGACACAGAAGAAGGAGAACTAACGCTGAAAAGTGTCCTCTGACCACACACTCGAGAGCCCCCCCCCCAATAAATAATGTAATTAAAAATAATGTTAATAAAGAAAAACAAAATTTAAAACTCCTCAAGCTTGGGTAGGGAAAGATAGATGATTTATTTGGCATAGGGTAGGGTGACAGAAAGACAAGTCTGGCCTGGATACTGGAATGCCCAGGGCTTCCAAGGTCTGGAAGGGCAAGGATGGGTAGGGAGGACAACAATGGTGCTTTCCCAGAAGATGGCAAGTGTGCTTTAATTGGGACTTGGGGCAGAGCAGGATTCTGTAGAGGGAAGGGAAGACCACGCCGGGAAGAGGATCAATGTGGACGGTGGCCCTGAGGTAGGACATCAAGCGGTACTGGAGACACAGAGGGGTAGGGGAGGGGATGTTATAAGAGCTGGCTGTATCTGCAACTGGGAAAGCCACTCCAGTCCAAGGGACCAGCCAGGCCAGGTGTGGGCTGCTGCTAAGCCAGGGCAGCTGCTGGGCAAAACTTTCCACTGTCTCCCGGCTTCCCGGAGCCCTCAAAACCTTTCTGTTTGAGCTCCCTTGCTGAGGAGACAGGAGATAGGCCGGATGTGGGTATCTGGTGTCACCAGGACACACCCCCAGCTTTATGGCTATGACTCAGCCCAGGGCTCTCCCAGCACAGGGCACACCCTCTCTTGGCTCCGCCATACCGGCTGTTCTTCATAAGCCAAGGGCAGTGGGCAGGGTCTAGGAACTGCCTGCCCAGGGCCAATGGGAAGGGAGAGGGCAGCTCCTACAGGCAGGTGCGTCATTTTCTCTGCTAAGAATAGCAGTGAGGCAAGAAGCCCTGGACCCAGGCCCAAGTGTACAAGTGCAGCCGCTGCTCCTGTCCAAACAGCAGCCATAACTGTTACTCTCATGTCACTTGCCCTCCCCAAGGAAACAGGCTCAGAGAAGCCAGATTGACATGGGGTGGTAGAGATTTCCTCCAGGGGTTCTTCATTTCAGGGTCCAGGCTTTGAAGTCACATTTATTGAATGTCTACTACTATGTGCTGGCAATAGGGGAAAGCCCAGCCCATTATGGGTGGGGCCACCCCTGAGCTGGTGGTCTTGGGTTCGATAAGAAAGCAGACTGTACAAGCCATGAGGAGCAAGCCAGTAAGCAGCACCCCTCAATGGCCTCTGCATCAGCTCCTGCTTCCAAGGTTCCTGCCCTGTTTGGGTTCCTGGTTTGACTTCCTTGTATGATGTAAACTGTAAACCAGCTGTAAGATGAAATATACCTACCTGAAATCCTTGGGAGTAGAGTGTGGGAATGGAGTAACAGAAGAGGGCACTGATGGTCAGGATAAGGACCAAGGAGGTCCTGGGCAGCTCGGGCCTTCTTTCTAGAATGGACCAAGCTTCAACAACTCAGCCTGTGAGATCCTGGAGCAGTTCTGGTACTGTGGAGCACATGTCCTTTCCAGACAGGGAGGAGTCACCTGCACCCAGCAGCCAGCCTAGACCATCTCACACAGTTGGCCACACCCTGAGCCCTCAGCCGCAGGCATGGTCTCTTCCCTGCCCTCCTTCCTCTGAGCTGTTCATTCTCACCTGTTTCCTTGACCCTAGAGTCTGAGAAGCAAAGACCTGGCTCCTTGTCCACAGCTGGGCCAAGTAGCGAATGACCCTTGCATCATGGTTGACAAAATGAAAAATGAACAAAACAAAACAAACAAACAAACAAGCAAACAAAAATCCCACTCTTCTGCTTGCTGGGGAAGAACTCCTATAAGCCCAGATTCCTATAGATTATTTTGTTCAAATTTGTTATATAGTTAAGGATGAATGACTTCACCTCTGGAGGGCTGGGACCACAGGCATGTGCCAGCCACTACGCTCAGCTCTGAAAGTACCAATTTCATCTTAATTAGAAGATTTGGGAACTGAGACCGGCTGATTTCCTGGCCATTAGGTTGTTACCTTGAAACAGAATTATTTTATAGCCGTGAGCAAATGACCTCTCCACAGTAAGTCCCTTGTGAAAGTCACCTCTTCGAAGGTGAAGTCATCGCTTCGCAGGTGCCAACCCCTTTCCCATGCCTGCCCTCTGCTGGCAGCTGAGGGCTACCGGCTCTCTTCTACATTCGTGATCTCCCCGGGGGGGGGGGGGGACGGGGGACGGACGACGACGATTCCCTTCGCAAACCTTGGGCTCCCCAGCTGCCTTCAATGAGGGGCATCCTCAGGACCACTACCCACACCCTCATCCACCTCTCTAAGAACACCAATCTTGTCCCACTTGCTTCTCAAAAACATTCAATGGCTGCCTAGTGCCTACAGAAAGGGGCCACCATTCTTTTTTTTTAAAAAGTCATTTATTTATTATTTTATGTACATTGGTGTTTTTGCCTGCCTGTATGTCTGTGTGAGGGTGTCAGATCTTGGAGTTACAGACGGTTGTGAGCTGCCATGTGGGTGCTGGGAATGGAACCCAGGTCCTCTGGAAGAGTAGTCAGTGCTCTTAATCACTGAGCCATCTCTCCAGTCCCAGGGTCCAAATTCTTTAGCCAGCAGCAAGCATAATCCGCCCCCATCATCTTTATGAAATGATGCCATACTATTCTCCAGTCTCCCATGCTCTTTCTGACCATTCACTGTTATTCAGAGCTCAGCTTGAAAGACCAGCTGCGTCCAGAAGCCACGCCAGACTGCCCACATCAGAAAGGATGGAACACCTTTATTCCTGCTGCTCTGGCCTGGAGTCTGCACTGTTGGTTCCCAGATGTCTGGGAACTTTAGGAGGATGTGCATCCTGTGAGTTCGAGGCCAGCCGGGGATACAGAGGAGGATGTGCATCAAGGTCTTGAAAGGTACCGAAAAAGAAAAAAAGTCACTGGAGCTGAGCTCATTCAGTATAGTACTTGCCATGCAAGCATATGACCTGAGTTTGAACCACTGAACTTGGATGAAGAAAAATTGAAAGTATGGCATGGTGATGTGTTGTTGTTTGTTTTTATTCTTTTCTTGGGGGCCCGATACCCAGCTCCCAAATAAATCACACACAGATTTTCTTTTTCTTCGTCTTTTCCAAGACAGGGTTTCTCTGTGTCGTTTTGGTGCCTTTCCTGGATTTCGCACTGTAGACCAGGCTGGCCTCGAACTCACAGAGATCCGCCTGCCTCTGCCTCCCGAGCGCTGGGATTAAAGGCGTGCACCACCACCGCCCGGCCTGTTCTAGCACTCTTTAACCCTTCCATCTTCCCTTCCTCAGCCGTGTGAGGTAGGAGGGCACAGGCTAGCCTCCATCTGGCCGGTGAGGAAGCACAGCCCCAAGAGGCTTAGTAACTAGTCTGCAGTCACCCAGCAAAGCAGGAGGAAGGAAGGCCCAGATCTGTAGATGCCGGGGCCCGCCACCGAGCAGTTAGCACGAAAATCTTCCCCAAGCGTCTTTCAGTTCCAACTCATACACGGTCACAGAGTGGTAATAGTCCCCAGCGTCTCCATTTCCTCGCTGTTACCCTCTGGCCCCCATCTCTACTTTTCCCTCATGTAGGCAGCCTCCTGCCTAGAGTCATTCAGGAAGTCGTATGGTGAAGTTCCACAGTAGCTTCCGCCCTTCCGTAGCCATGTGACCTGCGAGAAGTCCCCATCATTCTCAGAGCCTAACCCCTCTCTCTGTTCAGTGAAGGATGATTGATTCTGTGCGGGTTGGAAATGTTGCCTGGACCACGTGACGTTCCTCTCAAGCTAGCTGTTATTTTTGTTTAATTTAGTGCCCTGAAGGCTTTGAGGAATGTCATTTGCAAAAGTTATTTAGCCATACCACAGCACTGTCCAGTGACATGGGTCTGTGGGTCCCTACCTCACTGTGGAGGGTGGCACAGTGCCCAGAGCTGGCTGCCTTGAGATCCCATCCCCCACTGATCATGCACCCCTCCCAGTCCCTCAAGTTGCAGACTGGAGAAATCTGTCTACCTGCAAGCAAAGATCAGACTGGGGTTCTGCAAACCTGGGGAGGGATTCAACCTCTCCTAAAACTCAGCGGTGTCCAAACCCCACATTCCCAGGTTGCACCATTAAAGGTTCTTGTTTTTTCCTATTCTTCTTAAGAGATCACAGGCCAGTAGGCTCATGACTGACAGCTGTTAGAATGCACAGACTGAAATCAGGGTGTCTCAGTACAAGGAGGGACCCACTGTAGGCTTGGAGTACTCATTGTAAAGCTTGGAGAAAGTGTAAGGTCAGGGTTCTGTTCTTGGGTGGTGCTGTGGGTGGCAGGCAGTTCAGATGGACTGTTACAACCTTGTCCACAGGGCAGGAGCCCAGAAAGAGGACGGGGCCTGATTGGTAAGCTAGCTGGGGTCCCCGTTAGCCTAGCTGGGATGCAGTGGGCAATCCAAGGCTTGGATGGTGGTCACACTGTTACCTGCTTTAGCATTATAAGATTAGAGGTTGACTTAGTAGTTAAGAGCAGTGGGTACCCTTCCGGAGGATGCAGGTCCAGATTCCAGCACCCATATAATGGCTCAAAAGTGTCTGTAACTCTGGTCCCAGGGGATCCAGTGCCCTCTTCTGGCCTGCACAGGCAATGCATGAGCCTGGTGCACATACATGCATGCAAAACACCCATCCACATAAAAATACACTGTTTTAAAAAGAAAAAAGAAAGAAAAGAATCACAGGATGTTGGAGGGGTGTTCTTTGTGTGGTAACCAAAGGCCCAGGGAAGCCATGTTCAACAGGAAAACTACCAAGCTATGAGGACCAGGCCGACTCCTGGCTCTCAGTGTTTTCTTCTTAAGAACAATGTTCCAGCACTTGACAGGCAGATGGATCTCTGTGAGTTCAAGACCAGCCTGGTCTACAGAGGGAGTTCTAGGACACCCAGGACACAGAGAAACCCTGTGTTTAGAGAGAGCAAGAGAGCTCACAATGACAGAGGCCAGGAGCCTCCCACCCACGCTCTCTCTACCTGGAGCAGCCCATGGTGACCTTTCACCCCACCCCCAAAGTGGCACCTCTTGGTCTCTCCTTCACCTCACCACCTGACATTGTTTGTGGCAGTTCTAGACTGCTAGGGCCTGACGTCTAGAACAAAGGTTGAACAGGACAAGCTACAGAACAGGACAGGGTGCCAGAAGAGACAGCAATAGGATGGAAAAAAAAACAAAACAAAACAAGAAAACTTAGTTCCTGGATGGAATTCAGAGGTAAGGGGAGAGAGGGAACGATCCCATGGGGCGCACCTGAAGCAAGGTACCCAGCAGGCTGAGTAGCCCAGCAACGGGACCGACCAGAATGGAAATGGGCCAAGAGGTTCTGGTTGAGATGAGTTGACTAAACAACTTGTTTTCAGCCTGCCAAGTCCATAACCACAGCAGGAGGGGTACCCTCCGCGAAGAAAGAGCCTGCCATTCCTGCCCATGCCCTCTGTCCACTTGGGGGGAGGGGAGCTCAGGGTCCCCAACCTCTGCTGACAAACTGCATGAGTGCCACACCAGGTGTCCCAGAAGTAGGGGCCTGCCCTGCCTCGGGTTTGCCATTCTGAAGGTGGGGGGCTGGAGGGAGTGGGAGAGAAGGGGTGTGGAGACAGAGGAATGGGGACGGGTGACAGAGGACAGGGTGACAGAGGGGACAGCGATGGGGTAATAAAAATCAGGAAAACTTGGTTCCTGGATGGAGTTCAGAGGGGTGTGTGTGTGTGTGTGTGTGCGCGCGCGCACGCGCGCGCATGTGAGAGAGGGGCCACTGAGATCCCAGAAACCCAAGACAAGAGGCAAAAGTGGACCAGGGTACCAACCACTGAGAGTGACAGGATTCCAGGGCAGTGCACTGAGCATAAGCTGTTAGCTTTGGATGGAGAAATTGAACCTGAGAAAGAAGATCAACAGTGTGCCGCAGGTGACTTCAGAGCTGCAGAGCCAGGGTCATGGGGAATAAAGCCTGAGGACACGTGGACAGACCCAAACAGGCACGTCCACTGTCACTAAGCAGCTACTGACTCGGGGACAAAGTCTCTGGAGCCCTCTCTCCTGCAGGAACCAATGATGACAAACGTGGTGGCCTAAAAACCCAGGAATATATTTGGATGATTCAGGAGGCCTGAGGCCCATAACCTGGTGTCTGCAGGGCACTGTTGCCTCTCAACCTGGCTTTGTTTCTAGGCAACAGCAGCTCCGGCATGCCTTGGCTCACGGTCGCTTCACTTCAGGTTCTGCCTGTATTTGCATGGCCTTCTCCATGTGTGGTGTCCTCTCCTAATCAGTCAGTAGGTTTTGAGCTCCTTACATCTGCAGAGACCCTCATTCCGAGTCCTCATGCTAAAGACATTGAGGGGTTTTGTTGTTGTTTTTTGGCATGAGAGGTTTTTGTTGTTGTTGCTTTTAATGGGAAAGTGTGTCCTGAAGTCTGTACCTTGCAGAAACAGACTCAGGGGCCAGGTTCAAGATATTGTATGGCACTGGGGACTCCATGTCACAGTAATAATAATAAATGCAATGACAAAGCTAAACAGAGAGCTGGAGAGATGACTCAGTGGTTAAGAGTACTTGCTGCTCTGCCAGAGGATCTGAGGTTGATTCTCAGCACCCACATCCGGTGGCTCACAACTGTTTGTAACTCCAATTCCAGGGGACCCATCAACTCTGACCTCTGTGGCCATGTACACATACCCACAAATACAATTAAAAATAAAATGAACATGCTGGGTGGCGGTGGTACACACCTTTAATCCCAGCACTGAGGAGGTAGAGGCAGGTGGATCTCTGAGTCCGAGTTTAGCCAGGTCTACAGAGGGAGTTCCAGGACAGCCAGAGCTATGCAGAAAAACCCTGTCTCAAGAAACAAAGGGGGGGGGGTGTAGAATATAGCTGCTGCTACTCATGGGGCCTCTGTCCTGGACAGCAGGGTGATGGGGGAGATGGTAAGGCCCTGGTGATCCTTGCCATCTAGCTCTGCTGTTGGTTGGTTTTGCTTTTTTGAGGGCCCGCCACCCAGCTCCCAAATACCAGCTCCAAATACTCATGGGGCCTCTGTCCTGTGCAGCAGGGTGATGGGGGAGATGGTAAGGCCCTGGTGATCCTTGCCATCTAGCTCTGCTGTTGGTTGGTTTTGCTTTTTTGAGGGCCCGCCACCCAGCTCCCAAATAAACCATACATGGAGGCTTATTTTTAATTATAAATGCCAGGCCTTAGCTTGGCTTGTTTCTAATCAGCTTTGTTTGTTTGTTTGTTTGTTGTTGAGACAGGGTTTCTCTGTGTAGCTTTAGAGCCTTTCCCGGAACTCACTCTAATAGCCCAGGCTGGCCTCAAACTCAGAGATCCACCTGGCTTTGCCTCCTAAGTGCTGGGATTAAAGGTGTGCGCCACCATTGCCTGGCTAAATTTTTTTAAGATTATTTATTTATTTTAATTAATTAATTAATTAATTGAGACAAGATCTCTCTGTGTTACCCTGGCTTCCCTAGAACTCCCTAAGTAGACCAGGCTGGCCTCAAGTTCAAGAGATCCCCATCTTGGCCTCCCAAGTGCTAGGATTAAAGGTGTGTGCCACTATGCCTGGTGATTTTTAATTTTTTTTTAAGTTTATTTTATGTGTCAGAGTGTTTTGCTTGCATGTATGCATGTGTACCACATGTGTGCCTGATGCCTGTGGAGCTCAGAAGATGGTGCCAGATCCCCTGGAACTGGAGTTACAGACAGTTGTGAACTACTGTGTGGGTGCTAGGAACTGAGCCCAGGTCCCTGGAAGAGTAAGTGCTTTTAACTACTGAGCCATCTCTCCAGCCTCACCAGCCCTTTAAAAAAATGTTTTTTTAAACTCACAAGGCATTTTTATATGAGAAAAATCAGCCAGGCATGGGGGCTCTCACCTGTAATCTCAACACTTGAGAGGCCAAGGCAGGAGGATTGCTGTGAGTTTAAAGCCAACCTGGACTACAGAGTAAAATTTTCTCAAACTCCATTACCCTGACCCTCAAAAAGTGCTGAAGAAGTGAGAAAAAATCTGTTGCTGTTTTTGCTCTTTTGAGGAGTCTGCCATCCAGCTCCCAGATAAATCACACATGGAGGCTTATTCTTAATTATAAATGCTCAGCCTTAGCTTGGCTTGTTTTTCACCAGCTTTCCTTAAATTATCCTGTCTACCTTTTAACTCTGGGCTTTTCCCATTCTCTTACTTCTGTACATCTTACTCTTACTCCATGGTTTGCTGTGTAGCTGGGTGGCTGGCCCCTGGATTCCTCCTCCTTCTCTGGCTACTACTTTCTTTTCAGATAGATTTCTCCTTCTATCTATCCTCTCTGTATGCCAGCCCTGTCCATTTCTTTCTCCTGCCTCGCTATTGGCCGCTCAGCTCTTTATTAGACCATCAGATGTTTTAGACAGGCACAGTAACACAGCTTCACAGCGCTAAACAAATGCAGCATAAAAAAAAGTAACACATCTTAAACCAATATTCTACAACAGAAATCGAATTAGTTAAACCTGGTGAGGAGAAGCCTGTGTGGCAGGCAGGGCATGGCTGTATGCAGGGCATGGCTGTATGCAGGGCATGGCTGTATGCAGGGCATGGCTGTATGCAGGGCATGGCTGTATGCAGGGCATGCTGCAGATTCAGAGGAGAGGCTGGCTCCTGCTAACAACTCCAGTTACCTTAGCAGGGGGCAAAAGGCTGCCTTTCTTGGGGTCCAAAAGGAGGAATCTTTTGTTTCTCTTTCCTTGTAAGATATTAGATTGGTTTTACTTTATATTCTAGGGTTAGGTAATACTTTATTCCATAAATAGAACGTGTTCCTAGAGAATGCTGTTTTTAACTTCAAAGCATTGCAGATCCAGTTGAGGCTGCTAAGAACCATAAAAGAAACAGTCACTGTTCCCTCACAGCAGGTCCTGAAAGGTCCCAGGGCACAACAATGGTTGGCACAGTTCACATTAAGCAACACAATGACTATCTAGGTGCTAGGCCAGGGCTAGGATGCCCAGGATCCCAAATGGCAGGTCATTTTAGCTCTGCAGCAGACCCAGCCTGCCCCCTACCCCGAACATGACCTGGCATGGAGGTGATAGTGTCACCCAGAGGAAGTGTGCTGTTTTGTTGGAGAAGGATGGCCCATAACCCATGCAGAGAAGAGGTAGGTAAACCTGAGGTCAATGACACTGTATAGGGAGCCAGGCAGGCAGGAGCCTGGACCATAGGACCAAGGACTGGCCCAAGCACAGGACGGAGGCAGAGCCACATTGTAGAAAAAGCCTGCTGGACAAGTGTAGTCCCAAGACAAATGGTTACACTACCAGAGACTGCATCAGAGAAGAAGGGAGGCAGAGTGAGGGACTATCTCAAGGCCTGGAGGGGGGGCACAGCTCAAGCACCTGATGGGAAGGAGGCCCTGTGGGAAGCAGGTAGACAGTAGGTCAGCCCTGGGATAGTTCACTCGTATCTGGTCATGGACATAACCAGACACGGTTGTTCAGGTTCTGGGACCCACCCATTATGAGGGGAAAGTAACAGGACTGTGATCCAGGACAGTCCCAAAAAGGGTGAGTGCCTGAGCCATGGGCTTGGGTGGTAAGCAGCTCTGTTTCCCATCCTCATGGTTCCTCAAGGCCTGCTCTGATATCACACGCTTCCTCCTGGTGTGTGTTCTGGAAGTGTGCAGAGGAAACATCTGCCCCAGAGTATGATATCACCATGGCAACAGTCAATCTTTTGACACAAATCCATTTGGCAGGGCCTCACGCCTAGCAACCAAGCCATCAACAAATCGCCGATCACATGTTCAAAACAGCTGAGCATCCTCAGTCCTTCAGTGGGTCAGCTCGCCTGGCCAGGGACTCCCCCTCTCCAGACCTCCCGAGAAGGAAGACTGGAAGAACCAAGCAGGCACACAACTGGTTAAACTTAGTGGGAGTCATCTCACCACCACAGGCAGGGCAGAGGTGGGGGGCCATGAGCCTTGCGACTCACCATCTCAGGAGAGGAGCAAGTTGGAGCCAGACCAAGAGGGAAATGAGCCAGGTAAAGCCTGTGGCCCTTGTTACTTTTGAGGAAAATTCAACTAACCCCCATTCTGCAGTCGAGGAGTCTGAGACAGGGTCTAGCTATGTAGTGCAGGCTGGCCACAAACAAGCTATGTAGTCCAGGCTGACTTTGAATGCATGGTGAGTATCCGACCGTCACCTCCCAAGTGTGGGATTACAGCCGTGTATCTCTGAGTGAAGATGAGGACATGACTGCTCCAAGGTACGGTTGAGGAGGAGGTTTTTATTGTAGGTATGAGGGAGAGGAAGGTATGTATGTTGGTATGAGAGGCATCTGGAAGAGTCCAGAGCTGGGAGAGAAAATAGTAGACTGAATTTGGCCAGTAGATTGAACTGAGCCATGGGTGGGTGGGGGGAGCGAGAGAAGAAAAGAGAGAGAAGAGAGGGCCAGGACGGAGGGGGCGGGACAAAGAGTGTGTAGTTGAAATGTCAGGAAGCTTCTAGAGGAATGAGAAGCAGCGAGGGAAGGGAAGGGACGCCCTTGGGCTAGAGAGATTTAAGGTAGGGGGCAGGGTGAGAAAAGCTGAGAGTAGCGGCAGGTGCTGAGCGAGCCTGGCCGCCAGTGTGCGTGCGCTCTGACATGCTAACAGGCACCCCAGTTAGCCATTTGTCCTGAGTTTCTTTGGGACCTGACTGTCCCCACACCGTGTTCTCTCATTTTATACTGTAAGAAACCAAAGTCCCAAGAGCCAAGGCGACCACGCAGATCACAGCTAAGAAGCACAGAGCCCGGCTCCCAGCTCAGCTCCGAGTCCATCACCAGCACGCAGCGCTGCACCTGCGGGGGGTGCACAGAGCGTGTCTTGCCTGCCCAGGAAGTCAGATGGGAAAATCACGTGCCCCAGCTGCAGCCTTTTCAGATTCTGGCTGAACACCCGCTGTATGGCTGCGTCTCTCACCTTACATGGCACCAAACACATTGAAGAAGACCTTTCCTTTATTAGCAATGACACATGAATAACATGTATACATGTGTAGGTAGACATGGACACCCATGATGTGACATCTATCGTCCAACACAGCTGAGCCCAGGGGTCTTTTATCATAAATTTCAGGTAGTGACTCACATACCAGGCCACAGGTGTTAGATGTGACTATCAGAAAAGGGCTGTTGTGCCGGGCGGTGGTGGTGGTGCACGCCTTTAATCCCAGCACTCGGGAGGCAGAGGCAGGCAGATCTCTGTGAGTTCGGGACCAGCCTGGTCTACAAAGCAAGTTCCAGGACAGCCAAGGCTACACAGAGAAAGCCTGTCTCAACAAAACAAAACAAACACAAACCCACTTGCAAGCAGGGCTTATGTGCGTGACAGCTCGCCTCTCCCCACACTACTCCGAGGCCCTGGTGTCCAGGGAAGCTCCTCATAAACTGCTGCCGGCAGTGCCGTCAAGGCGGATGCCTGAGCCGCAGCAACCTCCCCTCAGGATCTGTCTGGGCTCACCTGCTCCACTCTGCCTGTCTCCAAACCGGAGCGAGTCCCCCAGGAGGACAGCAGAGGGGCCTTGTAGAGGTAAATGCCTGTCTGCTCCACAATGAAGTGAGGGAATGAAGCGGAATGGCTGTCAGATTAAACTTTTTCACGGCAGCAGCGCTCCAGGAAACACGTCATGTTTAACCTTTTTGAAACGTGTCTGTTTAACTGTTTAACCTTTTTCAAAGTGAAAAGTTTAATGAATGTGAACCTTTTCTGTTGTTGTTGTTTTGGTTTTTCGAGACAGGGTTTCTCTGGGTAGTTTTGGTGTCTGTCCTCGATCTTGCTCTGTAGACCAGGCTGGCCTCAAACTCACAGGGATGCTCCTGGCTCTGCCTCCTGAGTGACACTGCCGCCCGGCGAATGTGAGCCTTTTAAGAAGCTGCATCAGGGGGCTAGAGAGATGGCTCAAAAATTTATTATTATTATTATTTGGTTTTTCGAGACAGGGTTTCTCTGTGTAGCTTTTCGCCTTCCATAGACCAGGCTGGCCTTAAACTCACAAAGATCCGCCTGCCTCTGCCTCCCTAGTGCTGGGGATTAAAGGCGTGGGCCGCCGCCGCCAGGCTGAGATGGCTCAAATTTATAAGCACTTGTTGCTCTTGCAGAGAACCAGTGCTTCGCTCCCAGAACCCACTTTGGATAGCCTGTAACTCTAGCTCTGGGGAATCTGGTATCCTCTTGGGTTTACGTTGGGTGCTACACACACACACACACACACACACACACACACACACACACACACACACACACACACAAAGCCAGATGTGATGGTGTACAGCTTTAATCCCAGCACTTGGGAGGCAGAGGCAGGTGGATCTCTGAGAGCTCCAAGCCAGCCTGCTCTACGTAACAAGTTCCAGGCCAGCCAGGGATACTTATCTCAAAAAATAAAAATAATAAAATAAATCTTTGAAAAAAGGATGTCACATCACACACTGACGCTGTCGTTTTCAAGAGCGTATGTGAGCCCTGATGACATGGAGCCCTCCACCTTGCAGAGTGTCTTTATTTACAAGGGCTCGGAAAGCACTCTAGAAAAAAGGAAATTCCAAAATATATGTTGAGCAGAGTCTGGGTGGAGCAATTGCAGGAAGGCCGGGGGTCTTTCTTCCCACTGCTGGTCACTTCCAGGTCGTGAGGACATTTCTCCCCGACTCTCTTGAGCGGCCTGCTCTGGGCCCCACTGGCTGTCCTGGGCGGCTTCTGAGCTCTCTGTCAGTCCCGTCACCCTGGGCCAGCTCCTCGTCGTACCTGAAACAGATCACTGGAGAATCACGAGGGGGTCTTGTTTCGGGGGGTGGTGGTGACAGGGAGTGACCAATGGGCCACTGCAGAGCAAACGTATTACCGGAAAGAGCCAACTGGCTCCAGACTCCGGACAAGGCCCTGCCCTCTCCAGCCCACAGGGAGTCCACTGACTACAACACAAGCCCACAGAGCCCGTGAGAGAAACCCAGTTCAACTGCCATTGTGGACAGCCTGCCCATCCTACCATCCTAGGCAGATGCCATTTTAACAGGCCTCCGGGCAGACTATGGCACTAACCTCAGAGGAGCTGTGAATGAGAAACCCGTCAGCCAGCCGGGGGGGGGGGGGGGGGGGGGACACGGGACTCCTGCCTGCAAACACTCCACACACCCTATGGCGTAGGGCCTGATCCCATTTAGGGAACCGGTGTCAGCGGACTGCCAGGAAGGGCTGGGCTGGGCTCCTCCATCATGATGTCACTGTTCGGCCACTGTCCTCGCATGGCCCGTTTTCCAGTTGATGCCTGCACCTCAGCCCTGTGCAGTGCTGAGGAACAGACTGGACGTCACATCTGAAGAACTAGATCTAGACTTGGTGCCCGTGAGCAGGCACCTTCTTCCTTGAGGCTCCTTGAGAGTGGAGAAACATGTTACCCAGAAGAGAGTGCCTCTCCTCACCGTGACTTCCTACCCCTCTGGCTCCTGAGTGTTGGGATTAAAGGCATTTGCCATCATGTCTGGCTTCATTCTGGTCATTCTAAAATGTTTTCTAGACAGGCAGTGGTGGTGCACACCTTTAATCCCAGCACTTAGGAGGCAGAGGCAGGTGGATCTCTGGGTTTCTAGAGAAACTGTCTTGAAAAACCAAGAAATAAATGAAGTGTTCTCTGAGGTACTTGGCTCGCTGCTGTTTTGCCTGAGGACCCTGAGTCACGTGCAGTCTTTTGCACTAAGGAAACAGGTACCAAGATGCTTTGCTGCTGCAGGAGCTGAATTTCCCTGACTTCTGTGCTGGTCCAGAGCCAGACCCTGTGGGTGGTGTGGGGTCTGTGTTCGGGACTCCTCTGGTGGATGGACACTCTGGGAACGGGGCCTGCCGCGGTAACAGGCTGACGCACAGAGAGTGCCGGAGCGATGTGCTGGCGGCTCTCCTCTCAGGCGAGCCTGGGTTCGGCTCTGGTGTGGACTGGCACGACTACAGCACCCACATGGATGTGTGTTGTGGAAGAACTGTTCACGCTGCCACTCCACTGGGTCAATAAAGCCACCTGGAGTCAAAGACGGAACCAGCAAATGGCTGACCAGGATTGGCCATGGAGATGTGGGGAGCCTGAGGAAGTCTGATAGAGAGGGACAGGAAGAGAGAAGGAGGGATTTCTGAGGCTTTGGGATCAGGGAAACATGGAGAGTGGGGTCAGCCAATTGTCCCTCCGCTGTTCCTTGGATTTATCAGGTTTTTAATCTCAATTTCCGACTCTTGAGTTTTTATTAATACTAGAACAATTTAGGCAAACACAACAGATGTACCTCAGCACTAGCCTGACTACGGAGGCACAGCCAGGCCCTCCGATAGAAGACAGTCGCATAGAGAGCTCCCTCAAGGCCCAAGGGCTTCTGCTAGGAGGCAACGCTGGCCTCCAGGAGCCGTCCATGTGCTCACACTCTGGCCTGTACTGTGCCTGTGCCACAGACTGAGGGCGGAGTGAGGCTGCCCGTCAGGCTTGGGGTTGCCATGGTACTAGCTCAAGATGGGGAGGGGCAGGATCTGGATGAATGGGAAGACACACACACACACACACACACACACACACACACACA